CACACATGAAATCCCGTTTCTACTCCTTGTTTTACAACACAATCTTCCATTGGCCTTACTGTCAAAGGTGACTGACAGAGGTTTGGGATATTCCTTTAAGCATTTTCTTTTTGAATGTGCAACAGGGTTGTTATTTCCATGCATGAAAAACATGAGGTCAAGAGTGACCTAAGTTCTCTCCATAGTCTTTGCATCAGCAAAAGCAAAAAACTCCAATCTTAAGATCAGCAGATGAATGATGATATGACTATTATTGTCCTGAACCTGCTACATTACTTTGTGCTATTGCTTAGTCTTCAAGTCAAAGAAGAGTAGTGGAATACAAATTAATATGCATCTGATTTTAGTGATTGTGAACATCCATAATTTATGACTGAAGTCAATGGAGTCTAAGTTTTTTCAACATCAGAAAACAATCCTTCTTTATTCATACCTAGCTTTCATCTCTGATTAGCACAGACATCTATCAAGTTTATTATTTACATATTAGTAAGGATAAGAAATCGATAGCGACTGAGAGTGCAGAAGTCCCACATATTCTATTCCACATAATTATTTTGAACAACAAAGTCTAAATGGAAATATTTTAATTCTGAAAAGCTAATGTACGTAGACATGAATCACGTAATGATGTTATCCATGATGTTCTGTAACTAGATCCAATAACTAATACAAAAGCAAAAATAAAGCATTTCATCCTTTTATAATACTGTGCAAGAAAATATGGACTTTCCAGACTGTATTTTAAATGAGAACTCTAGAGATTTACATGAAAACAAAGTTCTTAAGTGAAAACTGGACATAATAATAATGTTTTCCACACTGAAAACTACAGGAACACTCAAATGTATTTCTACCCACCTTCCATATTGTTCAGAAAGTTTTTCCTCATATAAAACGTTCACCAGTATGTCTTTATTAATTAGAAAAGAATGCATGTGTTGGCACTGCGTTAGCTGTTACAGTGTTCTGTTCATGAAAAATTTTAATAACGGCTAGCATAAGGAATGTGGAAATAAGATTTTTCTTTTACTATTATTCTCAGTGCTTTTTAGAAGTAATGTCATTTTTTTTTCAGACTTTTTTTTTTTTTAATTACCAGAAAAAAAGGTATCCTTGCTTCTTTATCAGAAACGCTACAGCAATTCTGCAACACAAATTAAAACTAAAGTGGATTATATCTTTCCTAATTCAAAGAGTTGAACTCGAAGTAAGTATGACTTCCTAGCTCTTACAATGAAGAGGTGCGTGCTGAAATCTTATCAAGGCTTTCAAGCAAGAGAAAACAAACAAACAAAGAAAAAGATTAATTCATATCAGGGCCTGTAGTAATTTATAGAATATATTCAGTGTTTTACCCTTAGCAGAGTCCTCATTACACAAGGAAAAATATCGCCTAGAAAAACAGGTTAACAGCAGGCCTTGTCTCTTTAAAGATATTGCTGCTGCATAAGATGCATGCAGTATCATTTCTACAACCTAAAAGTATACTGCAATAAAGGAAGTTTCAGGGAAAATCCAAAAAGTCCAAAAAGAAAGTGGCTGTCAGACCTCTTTTAAATCCCTCAATACTCTGCTTCATCAGACTTCTATTTCTCTACAGAGTACACCTAGTTCTATTCTTACTTATATCTGCACTGTAGTGTAATTATGCCTCTGTCCACCACATCAGCCCAGAACAGCAAAACATTTTTGAACAGAAATACTCAGAAAATAAACCACCGCCAACAAAAACAACAGCAACCAACTGCAAAGAATAAACAAAAGGCCCCTCATACCCCTCTAACAGGAGAAGCACCACCCCTAGTTAATGCCATGACAACCTTTAATTTTTGTGCCAACTGAAAAACACTTTTTTTGTTGTTGTTGAATGGATGGAATGACAGTATGCAATCTTGCCAAGCAGAAGATGATCCCATGCCATAGCATGTAATTAAAACCACATGGTTCCCATAGGAACACACCAGACAAACAAATACTTCAGTGATGGGCACAGCAAAGGAATATGAACAGAACTTGGTAACTCAATGCTTAATAAATGTTATCTTGGTCATAAGGGAAAGGTTTCCAGAACTTTTAAATAGTGTGAAGGTATGACGAGTAGAGCCTGACTGACAAAAAATATTAACTTATGAGTTTCATTAGTTTTTCCAGAATTAATATTTTTAACAAACCCACAATGTGTATAATAGACAATTACATGTTTTAAAATGCTTTAACTGAAGAATTAATTTTACGAATTATTGCCTTTTTTTATTTTCTTTCAGATTTTCCTTCCTTCATACTGATAGAACAAATTGTTTATTCTGGAAAATCATTTCAGAGTATCCTGCATAGGACTTCTTCTATACAGGTGTTATTTTTTTTTTATCATGCATCTGACTAAACTGTGCTTCCACTCTGAGTCAACCCTTTTAAACACTGAACTTCCTGCAACAATCATAGCTACTCAATCAGCACAGACTCCTCTGAGCAAGTACAGTTGATATTTGCAGGTTTTCACGATATCCTGAAATCCAATGGAAGTATTCCAAAGTCATTCTTTCTGAAAAGTATGGAGGAAGCTAGAGATGGTGGGGAGAACACAGGACTGAAGGAGAGGAAGAATGGGATATGCCCAGGAAACTGTCTGTCATGAAAATGGCTGTCATTTATATCTCAACTTTCTGATGAAACCTCTTAACACAGTTAAATTATTCTCTATGATTTCTTTAGACTAACATACTTTTTTTTTTTTTTTTTTGCCATGATAACAGCATTGGAAATCTGTAATGCTTGGATAAGCTAAAATCTGTCACAAGAATTAATAAAAATAGGGGCATGTTTTGAATAGTCTACTCATTGCTTTGTCTGTACTTATAAAATATCAGTAAAGGAAGAAAAATACACGCAGGTCTGCAGCCCATAAATTTTAGGGATTCTTTCCTAATGACGTATCTTTGCCTAACAGAAGGGGAGAAATATCTTTGTGAAAATGGTTTATCCACCTACATAGCTCTGGCACAAAGACTGAGCAGTACAGCAAGCCCTTCTCAGGAACTCTGAACGTTAGTATGCTTTTCAGATATTCAAATCTGGCTGGGTTTATGAACTCACCCTTATTAGCCTGTTAGAAGCATATTCAGCTCATCTTCCTTCTGCTATGCTTTTCTGATTGCTTCTGCTGAGAGGATAACAAAAGCTGCCTCTGACAACACTGGACACTCCAATCTGAGCTGAGCTGAAGGCTGCCAGCTAGAACGGGTGTTGGGAAGCAACAGTGCACAGTGAAACTGGCAGTTGGATTCTTCAGTGCATCTGCAATACTTGTTAAAACCTGAGCAGGAAGACAAGAAGTACAGCTCTACAGCACAAACTGAGCAGAATTATAGTGCTTATTTTGTAAATATTTCACTTCTTCGAACCTTGAAAGTTAGAAGCCTACCTGTAAAACAAAGACAAATGGCTGATACAAGCTTCCTAAACGGCTCCACACAACTTAGCTGCAAAGCTAGTTGCATAAAAATGAGTAAATAGCCAAAGTTATTACAATTTTCATCTCTTTCAGTTCCAGCTGCAGGCTTGGACACAAATTTTGGTACATCACTCTGCATTTTTATTAGGCAGTCATGTAAGACTGAAATTCACCTCTCCACTCAAGAAGACGGACACAAATGCATGAATTTTAGTTCAAAGGCATAACAACAAATATAAACCAGCTTTGTAGTGCATGGCTTAACTTAGATTTTCTTCATTTATTTCTTCTTTATAGACAAACCTATAAAACTCTATCATGCAATCACATTATTTCTTCTAAGTGCCATGAAAGCACACATTAGAGATCATTAGTTTTCATGGCTTGTTTTCTGATAACATTGAGGATGACAGGGTACAGAATTTCCAGTGTTTCTTTTCATTCTAGGGATAAGATCTTCCAAATTAGCAAAGAATTTTGGATGTTTGATAGTGCTCAGGCAGCCCAGGAGTAATCTGGGAAGGAAAAGAAAGACTTCGTAACCAGAGTAAGATTTTTTTTCTCCAAAAACGTCTGTTAGAATCCTTCAGATTCTGTACATAAAGTATATAAACGCAAGGATATAAATGCAATATATATATATATAAATGCAAAGGATTTTATCCAGATGGAAATACTTTTATTTCAGTAATTTTTAGTAAGAACTAGTCATAGAGTTAAACTGGAGCATCATTCACATCACTGAGAGAAAAACCATTATCAGTAGTGTTTCTAACCCACATACTCCAATGGCAACACACTCTGCATAAAATACTGAGTTCAAAACGTGGATCCTTTCACATGGACCCAGCCTATCAGGCAGTCACAAAGGTCTTGCTCCCAGCTCAGAGCTTACATGCTTATTCAAAGGTCCAACTTAATGTCTCCTCACTTCTGGTAGATGTCATCCTTAGTCGAAACTGAGATGAGCAGGCAATTTGTCTACCTAGAATGACCAGAATAAAGAATAAGGGCTGTGAATCACAGAAGAAAAGCAAGAGGGAAATGAGTGTTTCATTTGCAAATTCAGATACGACTGATGTTCAGAGAATTCAGACTGAAAGGTGACGATTAGAGTGAGTACTTGTAGGTACTCATTTTCCTTAGAACTGCCACAGGTGTTTACTTTAGAGTATTCCAGCTTAAATGAATTTCACAATAAACTGTTCATTTATGAGATGTGTGCATTTCTTCCTGCTGAAATGACCTCATGTCACTGTTGTGTATTTAGTGATAAGAAGGTCTCGCTCCAGCAATAAAGTCATGTGGAATGCATTACTCAAAAGCCTATTAAGCGTAAAAATATTCAGCATTTATTTACCAGATTGAAAGAACAGTCCTTAAAAGGTTAGATTGTAGTGCAGAGACTAAAATATATCTAGTATCCCATTGATTTGACAGCCTGCCATAACTGTCTCAGATAATCTTAATTAGAACACAATACATACACATATGCTCACACACACAGACACACTCACACACACACACAAAACCTTCTGGGAAAACATTACCAATTACTAAGAAAAAAAAACCACCAAAATCTGCTTATGAGAAAATGCTTTTGACAGCTATTACACAGACTGTTATAATTCTCTGGATACCTACTGTAAATGGAAGGTATGCATCTTCCTCAGACTAGGACAGGTAATGTTAGATTGAATTAAAATCAGTTAGCATCTTAGTCCTATCCACCCACACGACACATTGCTGACTTCAGCTTTTGCTGAACTTTTCATCTTGAAAAGAGGAGGAGGAAGACTGCTTGCCATTTCTCTCTATCAACATAACCCATACAATCTATTCAAATAAGAATCAGCATTCAAGAGGGGAGAAAATAAGAGGCTTTCATGTCTTCATCGCCACTGAAAATATAAGGGCTCCACCTTGAGGCAGAACCTAGAGGATATCAGTACGAGGTGTAGTAAAGCTCAAGTGTGACAACGATCACATTAAACTAAAAAATAATTTGATGTCTTCTGAATGTCTCTGCCTTCTTATTTTCTTTGCACAAAAGAACCCATGTGTATACATGTCTGCGTGTTTTCAGACAATTTCAATTCCAAAATTAAATTCATGTCAAACACGAAGTTTAAAGAAGGGCTTCCAAGCATAATAGAATTCAAACAGAACACAGCCTGACAGAAGTATTCCTTCAGGAATGGGAAGTATTCCAGTTTCTCTTTCATTAGTGTACAGAAGAAAATTTTGGACTATTAATAATCTATTCCTCCTAAATTAGCAGTAAAAAAGATTATTAAATATCAATTTTTCACTTGAATAAAATATTTTGTGTTCATTTTAAATACACGGAAAAGCATTGTAAGTAATTTGCTAGTAACTAATTTGCTAGTAAACTGTGAAAACTTCAGTACTCAATATCAAATTGCTGCTTCTTCAGGCTGCTTCAGCATATATTATATTTTGAATAACAGCCTATAAGCATTTAGAATCTTTCTAGTTAATCCAAATTACATCAGTTAGATGAAAAAGTTAAGGCATATCAGAGCCCCCCTCACATTTAAAAGGATGGTTATCAGGATAGCGAGATAGATTTTTTGTAGTACTAATGCCAGATTTGGTTGAAGATGGCTGATGTGGTTGCAGAGCAGCCCTCCATCATATTTAAAAAAACATGGCAATCTGAAGTACCTGTGGAGGCCGGTCACACGCGGTGTCCCTCAGGGGTCGGTCTTGGGACCGGTGCTCTTCAGCATCTTCATCAATGACAGATGATGGCATCGAGTGCAGCCTCAGCAAGTTTGCAGGTGGCCCCAAGCTGAGCAGTGCAGTCGATGCATCGGAGGGAAGGGAAGCATCCAGAGGGACCTGGGCAGGATGGAGAAGTGGCCATGTGAACCTAATGAGGTTCAACGAGGCCAAGTGCAGGGTGCTGCATTGGGTCGGGGCAATCCCAGGTATTGATACAGACTGGGGGCAGATCTTGAGAGCAGCCCTGCGCAGAAGGACTTGGGGTCCTGGTGGACGAGAAGCTGGCCATGAGGCAGCAGTGTGCGCCTGCAGCCCGGAAGGCCAGCTGTGTTCAGAGGAGGCACTGAGATGAGCAGAGGGCCAGAGCAGCTCTCCTGTGAGGAAAGCTTGAGGGAACTGAGCTTGTTGAGCTTGGAGAAGAGAAGGCTGCAGGGAGACCTCATTGTGGCCTTCCATTACTTGAAGGGAGCGTATAAACAGGACGGCAAATGGCTGTTTACAAGGGTGGATAGCGATAGGACAAGGGGGAATGGTTTTAAACTGACACAGGGGAGGTTTAGGTTGGATATTAGGAGGCAGTTTTTCACCCAGAGGGTGGTGAGGCACTGGCACAGGTTGCCCAAGGAGGCTGTGGATGCCCCATCCCTGGAGGCATTCAAGGCCAGGCTGGATGTGGCTCTGGGAAACCTGGTCTGCTGGTTGGTGACCCTGCATATAGCAGGGGGTTGGAACCAGATTATCACTGTGGTCCTTTTCAACCCAGACCATTCTATGATTCTATGAAGAGTACCAATAAACGGAAACAGTATTTGTAGTAGAACAGCAGAATGAGCTGTACTTGTAAAAGAAACTGATGACAAAAAAAAAAAAAAAAAAAAAAAAAAATCAGTAGTGAAGTAAACAGCTATAAAGCAAAGACAGCAGATTAGTACATAACTTGAATAAGGACTGGAGTTTGCTGTTTCAGAAAAATAGAAAAATGGACTGACAGACTGAGAACTTTGTAAACATACAATAAAGTGAGTTTACAGATAAGAAGAGAGATTAAAAGAGGCTTCAACTCTGTTTTATTTAACTAGTCTAGAGTTCTGTCATTAAGATAAACCTGACCTTATCTAGTACTCCATCTAGCGGTTGGGACCTTGCCCGAAACAGGGGGGCTGGAACCTGATGACTCTTGCCTCTTCCAATCCAAGCCATTCTATGATTCATAGGGAAAAAAAAATAAAATCCTTGGGCTAAGTCTTTGAGCCTATCTTTATTCTCCCATGTACAGAAATTCTTGTGATGACCTCACCAGCACTGATAGTTTGGTAGGACTACAAATTTCAATACTGTTGTTGTTTCATACTGTAGATTAACTGAACCATTTTATAACTTACTTGCATCAACTAACCTTTGAAGCCAATGAGAGACTTCATTTATAAACCCATTTGACTAGTCCCAAGATGACGGGAACACGAATCAAACTTTCAAACTGGATAAGCAGGAGTTACAGACATTTCAAGATTGTTCATTAATTTTTAATAATAATCAATATACAAAATGCATTTCAGTTCTCTTCATTGTTGATAGTCCAAATTGTGACTCTTCTCAGAAGTTATAGGGTAAACTTATTAACTTTGTGTTCCAAACTACTTAATTTCTAATTTTGTTATCATGTTATCATGATGTAAAAATGCAGTACAAAAAAACATTTAGGTTGCATTTCAAATTATAGATGCTGACTGAATTTTAAAATCAATCTCTTTTATGGCTTATTTTAATAAGTGAAACAATTTTAATTCTATAAAGCTGAGCAGCCTCATATAAATTTAAGAGTGCAACAGATGTTTCTGCTGGCTCATTTAGACTGCTTCTCCTCACATTCCTCTCAGCTGATGAAGTGCCCTTCTCTGTTACAAGGAATTCCTCTTACATCACAGTGGTACAGCTGGTTAAAATCACCATCTGTTCTCATAAATGCCTGGACTGTGTTTAGCCACGCTATACAGAACTTGAGAATTGGTACTGAAAGCTGGAGATGAACTCTTATAGTCCGCTGGATGACATCCGAACACATCCAACAGTTGAACAAAGGACCAAATACTATAAAAAGTCAAGGTAGGATTGATTTTTTTTTCCCCCAATCAATCTTAGTTTGCTTTTTTTTAAATGGCAGATCACTATGTTATTTGTAAGAAGAGGGAACAGCCTTCTTAAAATCTCTTCCTCCCCTGCCTCCCTCTCCCCTTATCAAAAAAGGGAAAACAATTACACTGATAAATCCTGTCCTGTTTGGCAGACTGTAGTAAATCAGATTTAATTCAATAACATTCTTTCTGTTGCCACTGCCTGGCAAATATTTATGCTCATCATCATTTATTTCTAGAAATGTTTCAGGAGCTCTCATGAGGCTCAATTAACTTCATTGTTAAATGAGCCAGTTAGACAAAACACATTAAAACCTTTTGCAACTTAACTTTCACTGCCCACAGAACTCACTTCTGTTACGTGCTTCAGCTCTTCTATCTACTAATATTTCTACTCCTTGGCTCTTGGCTGTTTGAGTCTAAACATCTGTTTCCCCACAAATATATATGTACCTTTTTCTTTTTCCACATTCAAGAATAATTTACTTTGGTAATCACCTGATCGAAGAAAATGCACATATAGAAGCAGCAGCACTGAAATATTTCAACATATATTAAACTTACAAGTATCAACTTCCTCGCATTTGTTCACTTCCACAGTGCTGGAGAAAGATGATCATCCACATGGCAATGAAAACCACTGAACACAAAACTGCAACTTAGCTACATTCCATTTTTTTGTAATGGCAATGGAACACCAGAGCAATACTGCAGATATAATGGAGATCTGTTTGGTTAAGACACCATCCAAGCACACTGAGGGTGTTCTCTTTACTAAAGAACTCTGCAAAATGTCGTGCTTCACAATTACACTCTGTGCTTCATTTTCACCTCTTCTTTCACAACAGCAAAGATAATCAGCGTGTAGATTGCTAAGTGATTACAACTTTTCTTGGATAGTGGGACAAATATACATGGATAATAATATAACAGTGTATATTATAAGCATCTCATATGAAGCTCTAATTTTATGGACATTTTTTCTTGGAGATTCATCCTCACCTTCCAAACATTAGACAGCTTTGGCACAAAATATAAATTCCTTTTTTTTTTTTTCCAAATAATTGCCCTCATGCACGTTAAGTTACATGAAATCTGGAAGGCAAGAATGGTTCATAGTGCTAAAGGATCTAGCCCATGCATAAGTATGATGGTTAGCCAGATTTTCTGTAATTGGTCTCTGGCACAGAACACAGTGAAGCTCCCTCTTCACAGAAGCAAATGAATGCTTCTATTTTTCTGACTTTACTCACTGCTTGTCAACAAAGTGAAAACTGAACTAATATCTAATTTCCTTAAAGAAGCACACTTATGAACAACATGAGCAATGCATAGAACACGTTTTCCTTAATGGTACAGAGTGCTATGAATATTCAGTTTTTGAATGAACTGATATTAATTTCTTGCTGATCAAGAGACAGAGGTTAAATTTTACAACTAGTCTGAAGTAGGAAGAAGGTGAAATTAAATGTTCATTCTATTCAAATGCAATACTTAGTCCTTTCAAAGCTGTTTCCTGGATTCTAAGGTTCAAATAATTACTGACTAATTACAATTTTATTTCACTAGACTTGTTAAAATTCTCAGCAAGTACCTACCTTTACATTTATAAAGTAAAAAAATATATATATTTTTTCAAGACAATATACAGATAATTCACCTTTTCAATAATAGTCCCTTTTGAAGGAAGAAATCATGATTTTTCTCTCTAAGATTTTTTATGGATATGTAGATCACTCCAGAGTTGACGAATCCTATATTTTTTTTTCCCCGTGGAAACTACAACGGATGCAAAGAGCACAATAACACCAATTTGATAGAGCAAGTTCTTAATTAAAAAACATAGCTATGTATTTTCATCAGCAGTAAACAAGAGTCTGCATGCCACACGCATTCAAAACTGCACTAGCAGAAGTGACCTACTATTGCTGTCACCACCCACCACCCCACTTCACTGTGCTCACATCCACTACAGAATTGCAGGGGCTGGAAGGGACCACAAGACATCATCAAGTCCAACCTCCTTGCAAAGTAAGCTTCCTTACAATAAAGAATTTCAATGCTAGGACATTATTACCAAAGAATGAGTTTTGCACTACTGGAATAACCAGAAGTTTGTCAGTTCAAAAGGAATCTACCTTCCATTCTTCTAGGAGATTTTATTAATGAAAAGCACGTTACTTAAAGCAGAGGGAATTACATATTATTGCTTTTAGTTTGGTATTGTTTATTAGCAGACTTGACTTCTCTAGAGGAACAGACAGATTTATGTCAATAATTAAAATTTAAAAAATAAAAGCACCTCCAGCAGACATTCATTTGTTACTATCTGATTAACTACATGTAAATTCTCAGCAAACACAATTTTAGTGTAATTCTCTGGTCAGCGCTGGCCATTGATTTGAGCTACATCCCTGAGTGTCAATTCATAAATGGAGAAGATAATAGTCATCATATCTGCTTGAAGTTATACACACTTCAAAGAAGTGTCCTTGGAATTACAGTAGTGCCGTTAATTCTAGGAGTCTGTCCTACTTAAATAAGTGCTATTGGTAAGTAAATGTCTGACAAGGCTATCAAAACACAGGCAGACCTAACATTAACATTTACAGTAGTGTCAAGATGTTGAGTCTACCTGTCAGATGGTAGTCTTGGCTAAGATAGATGCTTAAAACAAATCTACTTGCCTCCAGCTCTCCTCTGGAGTAGTGTAACAATCTTATTTGTGAGCCAAGAACCACATATGCCATACAAAAAAAAAAGATACCACACCTTGCATTTTGTTTCAGTAATTGAGAGAAAGCTAACTCCACTTTTGTTACTTCCATTGTCAGCTCTGAAATATTTGTTTCCAGCACAAATTCAAATTCTCCCTTCAAGTGTTCAGAAAATATTTACAGAAGTAATAAATTTAAAACAACAAATAAGACCTCTCCCATATTCAGATTATCAACATCATCAGTTTACTGAATAATTCCACTTAAA